CTGTCGTCTCACTCCTCACACACTGTCTGGCGCATCATCCTGTCCACCACAATCAAGAATATCATCGGCAGCCACTGGCAGGCAGTCAGCCTTGCCTTACTCCTGTGTTCACTTTGATTGCCTCACTCAGTTTTCCGTTGTGGATCACGTGGCACTTGGCATATTCATATAACTGTTGAATGAGGTTGACAAAGACTTGGGTTCTGCACAACATAGTCTTGAAGCAGTTTCCAAACTACTTCTCTGTCAACACTGTCGAAGGCGTTTTCGAAGAGAAATTGAGATAGAGTTTTGACTGTCATGCTATGCTTTGTTCTGTGATGACGTTGCGTAGATTTGCAATTTGATCAGCACTTGATTCACCTTTCCTGAATGCAGGTAGTTCGGCTGAGGCGGAGTTGTGCACCCAGTGCATCTTTCATTCTCTTCAGGAATAACGTGACTTAGTATTTTATTTTGCGTGACCCAATCACTCGGCTTCTTTTCGTGATGTTGGCGTTGGCATTTCCGCTGCAGTCTCTGGGGCAGTTTTCAAATCTTCGGGGTAATTCCATCTCACCCTGCTGCCTTCTCGGACTTCAGTAGCTTGATCAATTTCAAGATTTCTACTTTCGTCTAGCGATAACATTTGTTTGCTTGTTTGTAGAGATATGTACGGCCAACCACCGAAATCGGTGAGTGTCTGTCCATACGTCCGATTGTTTGTCTAATTTATTATCTTTGAATACGTCTAGCAGTAGTAGTGTAATGGCCATCTTTCAGTTCACTCAGATCGAATTTGTTTTCTTACAAAAGATATACCCATCACCTCCCTCGCCACACAAACATACGCACAGACACAAGTACAAACACACTCACTCACAACTAAAAACAACGTTGAAGAGAAATATATTCACTGATAAAATATACATTTATATATATGCCTTTGTTTCTCTCCGATCAAATTTCACTCTTTTTTGATAAATTATGTTCATAGAATCACTATGGATTGTTATTACTGATAAAATGATGAATACTATGTATACATGGTGATGATTTCAAAAAACGCGCGGAAAATAAATATGGCGGTAACTTTAAAAGGAAGCAAAAAATACAATCAACAGATGAACAATACCATTTTTTTATCAAGGAGATACAAAAGCTACATCCTATACAATTCCGCATGTGTATATTGTGTATTACGGCCTTGAAAGGGTGTGTGTAGACATTTATAAATATGTGTGATTTTAGCAGTGTACATATGTTTGTTTTGACTTGAGTGTGTGCATGTGTTTAGGTGTGTACAGACGCTTATCACTATAGTGACGGAGGGAATATAAACGCTTTCATAGCACAGATGTTTATGAATGGAAAAGCAATCTAACTAGATCAATTTCAATATAAATGTTTGATTTTTTTATTGTTAGGTAAACTGAAATATAGCGATATGCATCATAAGTAGTATTAGTAAATCATGTGTGTGAAAAAGTTAGGCTTTGTTTTCGTTATATATGTTAGTAAGAGACTGGAAAGAGGCTTTTCTGTTGGGAAAGTATTATGGTTGGTGAATCTTTTTATTTGACTGCAGATCTCTACAAGCTTTCATCTGCTCTTCAAACGATCTTCTGCATGTTAGTTACCCTAAGACACCCAACCTATCACTTCTTAGCGTATCTCCAATCCATTTAAAACAGGTTTTTGATGAAACAGCTCAGTGGTAAGGTTACTAACTTCAGCACTGGGAGACACGAGTTTGGATCTCCGGGAGGAAGTTGGCTTATTCATTTTTGATGGTGATGATGATGAGTGCTAATAAGCACGAAACTCAGTTGCCCTAGTGATACATTAGTCTAATAATCATGAGGTCGAGCTAAACCTGAGGCATAAATCAACCTCACCTAGTGATATGTAGACAGGTAAACAATGGACTATCCTTTATTGGCAATATAGTGATCGGTGTCCAGTGTGAAAACTAACCAATCAGAATTGACCTCCGTAAGTGATCGATATCCAGTTTGGAAACTGGCCAATCAGAGTTGGCCTACGTAAAATAACGCCCAATATTTTATTGGTTATGATTGCAAAAATAACTTTGGGGATATTATATATCAAAGATTATTGTGTAAAATGTACTTGGCAGCTCACATCGTTATGTGCTTGCTAAAGTACTATGGACTGGGGAAATGGGTGGCGTAGTTCAACGGTGATCAGCGCCCCTGTGTCCGACTTAGCGTCCCTATTTCGACCTCAACGAATTACGAATCCTAACAACTAGTTTACTAGCCTGTCCTGTACCTGGAAAAGACGAAAGATTTGGGCGTGAGACTAGCAACCTGTGTTTTTGAAGAACACTTCCATTTTTAGTGAAACCTCGAAGTTAAGTAAAAATAAATTTATTCTTCGATGGACTCAATTCGATTTATCAGTTAGAGGATGAATGACGCCGGAGGGTTAAAACCTTCAAAAAGCCAGTCCGTTGACATATCTTCTTTCGATGGAAGCAAAAGTCAGCGTGCAGACACATAGAATATCGGCACCATGTTTGTGATTGGAAAGGTTCATTCAGCTTGAGTAGCTGAGGTAATTCATATCGATATAGTCCTGGATAACCATTTCTTCGATCTTGTATTACATAGCATGGCGTTAGTTGGTTTCATCTCAGTTACCTCCTTAAATTTAAATGGCTGACTGCCAAAGGAATTACTTTATGTTGTGCAGATCATCTTGAACTCGTTAACAAGCACCATGTATTAATCACTAAACCATTGTAAACCATGCGTCGGTGGCACAGCGGTAAGGACGCTCGCCGACCATGCACATGGTCGGAATGTTTTAGCTAGTAAGTCGGAATTCAAGGGCCACTGGATCTGGTTCCATTGGCTGAATAATCTACGAGCTTGCTTTGTAACCCGAAGGTTATTATTTATATTTATTATTCCTTTGGGTTCCCAGTGGAACATACGGCTTCAACAACAAATCTGCAGTTTATTCTATTTGACGCTGTCCTATTCACCTGGGTCCACGATTAGTGACTATAATCTCTCATCTCCTCGTACTCCTCCCCAACACACCATTTCCTCCATGTCACCCTCACACTGACGACCCACTCCTCACTTCCTATTGGGATAACACTCCAGAGACGGCCTGCACTGCGGACGATGTCATTCGACGGCCTCCTCAACGTATGCCCAATCAATCCATCTCCATTTTCTCTTACATATTTCTTCAGCGATCGGATCTCGCCTGTTGGTTTGTTCCCAGTTAGAGTTTCTTGTTCCTAATTCTATCTGGCCGGCGAGCTGGCGCATTTGATCTTCAGTACGGAGCCAGCCAGCGAAGCGGGCAGCTGATGATAAAGGTGCGCAGTAACTTGTTGGAAATCCTTCTCGTGACTGGCGCGCAGTGCAAGTTTCTGACCCGCATAGAAGCACTAACTGACTTCACATTTGTGTTGAATAGAATCCGAATCTTGTTCTTTATGCTGTGGACTGAGTGCAGAAGATTTCCAGCTTGAAGGTCCTGGGTTTGATCCCTTGTTGTGTGCCAACCGCTAAAGAGTCCCAAATTTGGTGAAAACAGCTATTCAGTACTCTCTGATAGTTTTCAAAAGGTTCTTTAATTGATGTCAGCTAGTGATCAAAACTGTAAGCAACACTTTAATATCAAATTTATTTGCCATGTATTTGCGAACACGTATCCCCTCTGTATACGGAACGAAACTTTGATTTTTAACACCAATTTTAAGTCATTTCTTCTACATGGGTGAGAAACTTGGAGTGGGCATCACGAAAAATATTTCCAACAGGCTACTGCAGAGGTTAATTGGTGGATGATGACTAGCAGTTGAATCCAGGATTCTCATTTCGTCCTAATCGGGACTCGTCAGTTGGATTTACCTGCATTCTGCAGTGAGCGATGATGTTCCCACCAAGACTCGAACTTATTGCCCATAGTTTCAAACGGCTAAGCGTTATCCAATAGACCAATTGAGCCACGAGAGCCACTCTTGTGCAACGGGTCATATTGATTATTTTATTGAATTTTAGATTTTCCCGTTGATTGATTGGACCGAAGTGCTCGGTCTCAGGTTGACATGTCGGCTTCTTGTGCAGATGCTTCGACGATGTCTGGGCATGTAATTAGAATTTAATTGGTGGGTGGTGACTCGCAGACTTTATCAACAGCTGCCCACTTCACTCCAAAGTTAAGATCAAACGGCCAGAAAGAATTAGCAACAAGAAACCCTGGAAATGAACTAGACAAGACTCTGTTGCTCAAGAGATATGCTGAAGAAAATGAAGATGGCTAGGACACAGGCTGAGGGAACTGTCGAATGACGTCGTGTGCCAGGCCATCGCTCGAATTGAACCCAAGTGGGATACCACGAGTGGGTCGGAGGAGACCGCACGTGTAGGAGATGAGGGATAGTGGACAATCTTCGGGCCAGAATGTAGGACAAAGCAGAGATATGCCTTTTTGAAGCCCTATGTCCCACTCGGAGCCTAAGGGAACAATAATTATGAAAATAATATACAGACATCTACCTAAACCTTTGATTTATTATGAAAATATTTTATAAAGTTGTTGTCACTATGACAGCAGTATTTTAATCCTGAGTAGTGTTGAAATCATTTGGAAGCTTGATAATTATTATTTCTGTGTCTGACAATTACTAGCATGCGAGATTCCATTCACCCAACCACCCACGCATGCATCACAAATACTAAGTGATGGCTGATTGGTTGATAGAATATTGTGTGCTGATTGGTCGCTTTTTTCCTCTATCTCTCTATGAGGAAAATAGTTATTTCTGTTCAAGTATTCAATGTTTAATATTATTTAACTTTCATTGTTGTACATGTAAATTAATTAATTAATTAATTGATAATAACAATACTCTCTGATATCATTATCTTCCTTCGTATAACTAAATATCATTGTGAATAGAAACTGATATTTACATTGCATTACTATTTAAGGAAATACATTGAAATATATTGAAACTTTTGGTGAAACGTTGAGTATCATTAAGTATTTTCTGGAGGACGATAAATATACTGTTTATTGAGTAAAATACAGAAGGTAAGTGAGATTTTTTCTGTTCTCATTTTTTGTAACCTGAGTGGTACACAGAACTGAAAGCTTCTTTGAAGTTTCACTATTAGTAAACTATCCTCTAATCCAAGCTGACTAGGTGAGCTTTAGAAGTACATCAGCCGGTAATCGAACCCATATTTCATGCGTGGTTGACAAGTATTCTACCAGTGAACCACAGATGTAATAGTTGTTTCATGCTAGTTTGGAACTCTTCGGCAGACCAATGGGGTCGGACCCAAGACCTTCAGATTACCAGGCAACCTCACTGAGCAAGACTTGTGTTGATCGACTTGGTCACATAATTTTTGTAATATCAATGGCACTGTTTGATAGGAAATAAATCGAATATTACTTATCTTAGTATCATTTTATTCTGTTAGTTACCTCATATCTTACTGAAAACATTTATTTCCCGATACGAATTTAAAACAAGCAATAAAGGTTAATAAAGCAGGATTTAATGAATTCATCAAATTTCGGTAGAACTCGTCAGCTGAATACTCTACATACACGGATATATATACTTTTAAAATTACATCCGGAGATATAAGACTGATAAGTAAACAAACTACATTGAATTAATCATGCAGAAAGACAGGTGCGAATCTTTTTCCAGGTCATTTTCAAATAGATAAGGGGAGAGAGAGTATGAGAGATCAAAATTAAGATAAATTGCATTACGCTTCAATTGACATCACTTAGATAAACAATTAGACATTAGAGAATATAACAAGAATTGCAAACAGAGCGATGTCAATAGTAATAGTTATAATAATAATAATAGTGTTGAAGTGAGTTAAGATAATGCTACTGATAAAGGATAGCTTTTAATGAATCAATAATAATAATAAGAGGTAGAATAATAAGTAAAACGTATTACCATGGTAAATTCAGAGTCACGACCATCTCCTTTTGTACACAAAGACCTGGTTTATAAACTCGAATTTCACAAGCCTCCTCGGCAATTGCAAGCATCTTCTTGTTTCTTTGTCTGCTGACAATAGTGAATGACTTGACCGCGTCGATATCATGTCCGTAATCCACAAGATGCTTTGTTATTGAGGATTTTGGCACTTTGCACTCAGCTGTTTTCAACCATTTTGACAAATGCTCCATCATGCGAGTAGACAATCGCCTTTCTGTACGACCTATGTATTTGCTTCCACAAACACACGCATTCATCTTATTGATTCGTAAGAAAATTTTTCTGACATACATCAGTGTCTTCTCTTACAATTTATAAATTCACACATATTCTACCCGTTCTTCTTTATTGCTCCTGCTTATTCATCCCTGAACTTCTCAAAAAAGATGATGTTAAATTACGTAGGACATTGAAGACTGTGAAAAGGGTTAGTGGTGTGTCACTATTGTTCATAAGTATGTCAGTTTTTGCAAGCTCGGCTAAAGTCTATCTTGTCTGATGCTGGAAATCCTCTTTATTCGTAACTCTCTCCTTGTATATCTTCGAGGGGAAATCAGAAGAAATTTTTAAGAAATTTATGCTCATACGTCTACCAAATATGAAAAAATTGAACCACACCCTATTTATTGCGTGTGTTGTGTGAAGAGAGAGAGTCAGATGTCAGAAAATAAGCTTATAAACCTACCTTATAATCAATAAACAAGCAGCATTACTATGACATGTATTATTCCTCCATCAACCACAAGTTTTTGAGGTTTTTTCCCTTTTTTTCCTTTAAAATATTCCATTACGTTCCCAGTGGAACATAGAGGGATCCAAGCTAGAGGCTTGAGGTTTCGTTAGCAGTGCCCATGCCCAACCTTCACTGTTCACCAGTTTTATTACTAGCTTAGCGAGGTAAAAGAGTGCTTCATCGGCGAAAGGATCGAACCCTGGACCATATGTGGCGTGGTTGGCGAGCCTTCTGCAGCTGTGCGACCGACGCACAATTTTTAAACTATTTTATTTATTTATTTATTTGTAAAAGGAGATAAATTTTTGCTGCAATATGCAGGATGCTAGAAGTTCCATTGTGTATGGAAAATTGTGCCTCTTTGGTTCAGCGATAGAATGCTCGTCAACCACGCCTCATGTGGTCCAGGGTTCGATCCCCGGTCGACGCACTCGAAAGACTGGTAGAGAGGGAAAGTAGGGCATAAGGCTAGCAACCCCACCTCGTAAAAGTAAACATCACTGTTGCTAAAACTTCGAAGCTCTAGCTTGGAGCACTACGTTCCACTCGGAACGTAAAGTGCGTCGGTGGCACAGTGGTTAGGACTCTCGTCGACCATGCACATGGTCCGGGGTTCGATCCCCTGCCGACGCACACCTGATATCTATGGTCGGCCTGCAAAATTTGGGCTACCGATATTACATGCTGAAATTTCCATACCTGTACCAAAAAATACGGTGTGGAATCAAGCTGTAATCAAAAAAATCTATAGTCAATAGGCCCCGTGTTGGAGTTCTCACTCCCCTTAGTTTAGCTTTCTGCAATATGTGTAGCTATAGATTGTGATCTTGTCACTATTTCAGTTTTCTATTAGTTCGCCATCATCACAGATCACACTAAAATCATCCTACCAAACTAAGACTACTTGGACATATCATTTCAGGTACAGAATCTTATTGAAGTAATATTATTGTATTATTATTGTTCCCTTGAGTTCCGAGTGGAACATACTGCTACAAAAACACATCTCCACTTTCTTCTATTCTATGTTGTCCTCTTCAGCTGTCTAACCCCACGGTTTCCCACAATCTCTCGTCTCTTAGTCCTCCAGCTCACACGATCTCCTCGATGTCACCCTCACACCGACGACCAACTCGTCGCTTCCTTTTGCGATTACAATCGAGCGATGACCTGAATTGCACGCGGTGTCATTAGATGAAATCCTCAATGTGTACCTGTTCCATATCCATTTTCTTCTACATATTTGTTGGGCAATCGGCTCTCACCTGTTGATTTGATGCCAATCAGAGTTTCTTTTTCCTGATTGTTTCTGGCCGGCAAAGGTGGCAGGTGTTGATGAAAGTCTGTTGGAAATGTTTTTCATGATGGGCACACAGTTCAAGTTTCTGATCCGTATAGAAGAACTTTATGACCAACTTCACATTGGTGTTGAAGATGTGAGTCTTGTTCCTTACGATGAGTGTAGAAGATTTACAAACTGTTTTCAGATTGATGAAGGCGTATCTTGCCTTACCATTTCTGGCTGACTGGCTTTGACAGTTTGACCCGTCCAGCCTGTCGTTGAAATGATGCTTCCTAGATATAAGCGAAAGGGGTGACCTCTTTCAAATCTCTCCAAATGATGGTGATTCGTGCTGGTTGTTGCTGTTGTCGCTGTTCGTTGGTTATTTTCATCACCTCCCTCTTATCTGAGTTCACCTGTCTGCCACCTTCTTCAGCTAGTTTGTTGGTTTTCGCCTGTAAGTCTTCGAGTTTGTGTAACATTAAACATAAATCATCCACTTGGGAAATCCAGATCTTCTAGAGTCTTCTAACTGATCACTGTAGCGTATTCCTGTCTAATCGCTTCCCTTGTCTTCGCTCAATACTCAAGATCAGATGGCCAGAAAAGATCAGCAACAGGGATCTCTGGCAATGAGCGAACCAGCCTAGCGGAAACCGATTGTGAAACAAATAGGCAGGAAGAAATCGAGGTGGAATGGATTCGCCATACTCTGAGGAAACCATCAAGTGACATCGCTAGACAAGCCATTGCTCGAGTGGAACCCGGTCGAAAGGGAAACGGCGAGTTGGTCGTCAGTGCAAGGGTGACTTGGAGGAGGTCATGTAAAGAGGAGATGAAAACGTGTGGGCAGACATGGAGCCAGGTGAAGACTCTAGTAGAGAATCGAACGCAATGGAGACGCACGGCTGAAGCCCTATGTTCCTCTAGGAATTAAAGGATAAAATAATAATAATACAATTAAGAATACCAGCTTAACTGTTAATAGCTTCATAGAGTATAACAGACTTATACTATTAAAATGCACTTTTATCAGTCAGACACACTTACACTTACACAAACGCACACACCCATACCCACACCAACACAAACATATGGGATTGTAATTGCTAACTGACATTTTTTTTCTTCCATGATTAATGAATTTTACAGTTCTGTGCATTCTTTCAAGTAAAATTTCTGGGCTATTTTGACATTTGTTAACATCTGCGTCATTATGCATAATATAATTCTTGTCTTAAAAGGATATTCAAGAGTGTTTTCTTGTTGTTGAAAAAAACGGGGGTGGTGATCACGATACATTTGACTAGTGATCAAATTATACGACGAGTTAACTCATTTTTGACTACTCTCCACTATATACTACTGATTAATAGATTGAAATGAGTAGTTGAATACCATTCGTATCATACTAGAGTACTTGCTAGTTAGATCGTCCAAGTGTCTTCACTTACTTGTGAAGTACCATCAGCCCCAACGGGTTGATCTCAGACGAAATCTCAGCACGAATACAGAGGGCTTGTTTCGCATATGCCAGTTTACGCCGTCTCTGGCGTAGACGTGATATCCGACTATCGACCAAAGGGCGTGTGTACTGCTCAACAGTCCGCTCCGTCCTCCTTTATGGCTTTGAGACCTGGCCATTGAGAGCAGAAGACATGAAAAGATTATCTGTGTTCGATCATAGGTGTCTGCGTTCTATCTCCCGCGTGAAGTGGTATAATAAGGTGATCAATATTGAGGTTAGGCTTCAGTCGAATGCTAGGTGAGTTGGAGGGGAAATCAATCTACGAGACTGTGAAGTTACGCCGATTAAGAGGGATGGTTAGGACATGTGTTACCTATGCCTAGTCATCGCCTTCCTCGACAATGGGCTATGTTAGCTGACATAGGGTCAGGTTGGAAAAGAGCTAGCGGGGATCAAACCAAAACATGGCACCAGTCAAGGCACTACTCACATAGCTTTCTAACTTCGTTTATATAATTCCATTATTTTCCATCGCTTGATTTGATTGGTAGTAGTATTTTCCATATTTCCGGTATGA